TGCAACGGACAATTACAGCCTACCCAATTCACCTGTACCACATGTCTTTGGACTGTGGGGGAAACCAGAGCACCAGGAGGAAACCCTCACAAACGCATGGAGAACATGCAAACTCCACACAGAAATGCCAACTGACCCACCCGAGGCTTGAACCAGCGACCTTCCTGCTGTGAAGCGACAACACTATACTGTGCCACTGCCTCGCCATTACCTTTTTCAAAAGTTACAAATTTGTACCTAAAATGTACATATTAGTACCTCAGGAGTACATATGAGTACCTAAAAAGTACATAAGTGTTCCTTATAAAATTTTTAGGTATTAGTATATACTTTTGAGGTACCAATATGAACCCTTTAAGTACAAATGTGTACCTTTTGAAAAGCTACCACCCAAGTGACAACTTGCATACCTTTATTTCTGAGAGTGTACAGTACGTAGGCTTGTTGCATAGAACTAAATCAACCCAGGCTCATTGAAATTACGTGCCCAGGGATACATTTTTGAGAACCGAGAAATTTGTATCCTAAACTACATGCGCTTGCAGTTTTAGTTTTCACAAAATTTATTATTATTAAATTTTACTCGTTTTACTATGGTAAAATAACAGATCAATTGAATAATAACACTTCAATCTCCTCCCAAAGCTCAGACGGTCTGTTTAGAGAAACTGTCAATCACAATTGTCAATCATGATGACACGCCCCTTTTTTATATTTAACATTAAATTTACATTAAATTACTGGCTAAAAACATACTCTTTACAAAAATAAAAATCTGCACCTATATCATCATGATAACCAGTGCCTCAATTGACCAAAACCACCTTTTGGGATATTATATTACAAGAGTAATTAATGTTTTTATTTTGGCTCAAGTCTCGTTCATTAACATGGAGGAGGCAGGCTTTTTGACTTCTACTCCAGCCTGCTTCCAGAGGGCAATCTAACGACCGAGACTTTCACTCAAAAGAAGGCGTGAGAAACACTTAGTCTCAATGAAACTAGTTTATTTCAGTCTTTATTAAAAAAAAAAAAAATGTACTAAATAAAATTTAATTTAAATTTAAACATAACAGTTGAATTTATGTACAGTGTTTAAACCTGCTCAGCATAAAAGCAGTTTAATTACAGTAACTAGCTGCTTTCTAACTACTAACACTCCAACTCTGGGTTTGTTCCGCTTCTTTAACATGCAAATATAGGTAAAAAAAAATACATTTGCAGTATTTTTACACATCATTTTTGCCTCTACAGTCTATTTTGCCTCTGTATCTCAACAATCAGTGTTTAGTAAATCAATAAGACAACTTGTCCCCTGTTGTTTCATGATGTATGTTACTGATTAACCTTATTCCAATGAGTTCTGAATCAAACGGATTAAAACAAGTAGCAGAGTTTTGCAGTTTTCTTCCCTGGACATACACAGTATTTTTTTACAGAGCAGAACAATTCCACTGGCTGGGTCAAATAGAAATCATATCAGGGTCTCCGGCAGTCAGAGTTTCCACAGTGGTTGTACAGTTATACACATCCAGCCCACTGATTTCCCTTTATTGGCTTCCATTTATTCTGTAACCAGTGTAGAAGGTTGTCTGAGTGAACAGTTTAGTTCTAAATAGGGCAAAAGTGACAGATTATCCCAAAGGCACTCTCTCTCTCTCTCTCTCAAAAAAAAAAAAAAACATTTTTTTTTTTTGTTCAGTATTGTAGTGTCTTAGTCGGTTTACAGTATACTGACTGTACAGAGAGGATACTAAAAAGAGCAACAATACTGAAGCTTTCTGCAGATGATCAAATTAATGGAACTCAGGGATGACTTTAATAATAATAATCAGCCTGATGTACTTTGCCATTCTCTTTGAAGTATTATATCCTGACAGATTGTGCACTTAAAATGCAGATGATTATGCAATGTGATGATAAGGGCAGAATTGGTAGTATAAATCCTGTGATATGGAGAAAGAAACCTCATTGAATTTTTCATTGTGCATTCTTAAACGTTGGGTTTTTCACAGAGCTGTCTGAAGTCATTTGTTTCAGAGCATTCTGAGTGTGTGTGCTTGTCAAATGTGATTGACTTCGCCGACAAAGAGTGCTGCTCAAAATGCTGTCGACGGTAAAATTGTATCCGGGCGCAGAAATATTAGTCTATTATTATGGCTCTTCAATTGTACAGTGCTGTTTCCCTTTTGTAACCATATTAATAGAATCAGCATAAATGAAGACTGCTGAAGCTGTAATAATGCAGAACTACGGAGGCAAGGGGTGTATGGGATAGCCAATCAACTGCTGTCTATTGTGCCTTAAGGTTAACAATGTATTATTGATTTCCATTTATTTTTTTTTTTGACATTTTCATGATAAGTTTAAATGACTTAAAAAAGAATGACCTATTTAATTTTGGTTATACATGTAGATATTATTACTTAGAAAAATAATAATTTTAAATAAACAAGCAAAAAAGCATATGAAGAGTTCAGATGCAAAACCCCCTAAATCCATCAGACCTCTATTCTTGTAAATAAGCATTTTTTATCAGGCTCCTCTGATTAGGTTCAGCAATTTTATTTTATAGATAATGAAAAGGTTGTTAGCTAGTAAATAAATAAAAAAATGACCTAGTAAATAAAAAAAGGTAGGTTAACATGGTAGATTTTCTTTTGCGTCAAAACCACCTAAATCCACATGTGCTTTTTTTTGCAAAAACCTCTAAATTCACACATTGACAAGACATTGATATTAGCTGAAAAATCACTAGATGCAATTAGAAATTATTTTACCAAACATACAACACCTCAAATTTAAAATATATAAATCTGTCAAGTAAGTGGTGGTTCATTCTGCTGTGGTAACCCTTGATAAACTAGGGACAAAGCAGAAGGAAAATTAATTAATGAAAAGTAAGTAAGTCAATAATAAGCTAATCAATAACATTAAAATTGACCTCTATTAAATCTTAGCAATCTGTTGTCATTACTGATATTTGGGATTTAGATTTACTGTAAGTAGAGCAATGTGACCATTTCAAGCATTGTAAACTAAGCTTGTTAGATTCAAATGTAATGTAATATAAGTGCATTGTAAAACATCAATATCTGTGCATTGTCCAATAGTATAAAACTCTTATGAGACATATAGGTAATGAATTAATATAAGTATAGTTGTATACATTATATTTATTTATAAAATAGCTTACATTAGCAAATAAAACACAAAGTAGGTCAACTGGGCTAAAATGGGATGCCTCTCAGACACTTTTAGAAGCTGTCATTCATTCATTCATCCTCACCATACTTAAGGTCTTGGTCTCTTTTTCGCCTCATGTTATCCTCATAGCATCCATGCGGGATAAAAGAAAGGCATCTTAACTTCATCTTTCATGAAACGTTGTTGCCGTTTAATGTCGGACTCAATCAAAGTAGCGTTGCTGCGCAAAAAAAAAAAAAAAAAAACATAATGAATGCATGCTACACTTTCGACTGTACAGTGTGTTTTCTTTTTCTTATAATGCACATAATTTAGAGGTACGGGATGTTTTCATTTGCCATTCACTGACAGTTGGACAGTTTCATCCAGTTCATCAAACTTTATCTTTTAAAATCTAAATTGGAAGCGAATAAAGGAGATATGAATTAGCATGTTGCTAGTATGGTTAGTATGTTAGTATGTTTGAAAGTATGTTTCTAGTATGGATTAGTACATTTCTAGTATGGATTGGTATGTCGTTAGTATGTTTCTAGTATAGATTAGTAAATTGCTAGTATGGATTGATATGTTGTTAGTATGTCCAATGAAAAGTTAATGGCAGTTTTTTTTACAATGGAGATCAATGGGACAGTTGCTAGGGTGCCATAAGTGGTTGCAAGGGTGTGGCTAAAAAGGTGAAAGGTCATCAGTGATTGGCAGTTTGGTAATCTGAGTTAAATGAGCTCAACCTTTAATCTGGTACAAAGTTATTAGTTCACAAAGTTTGGTCCAATGCTAACTTTTTTGATTTTCTGCGGGTCAGTTTTTGAAAAACGTTTCTCGGATCAGTTGGAATAGATAAAGCAACCCGAATTGGACCAGTTTGGAGGTCTGGAGTAAGTTTGTTGACTATGAACGGTCTAGGAGGAGATGCATATAGAAATTAGTCTCGGAAGAAGAAGAAAACGGAAGACGGTTGACTTTGTGTTTCGTGGCGCACTAAACTTAACTAGACTCTCGTTGGAAAGAAAAGAAAGAACAGTATCGAAGATGGGAATGTCTGAGCTCTGCGGTTAACCCTTGTTTTTCAGGGTCCAAGTCTGTTCACTGGACCTGAAGAAAAGCTGTGCTAAGCTGGAAGGAACAACTCCCTCGAGGCACTTTTTATAGTCCTTTGTTGAAAAGCTTAGTGATTTGCATATGTATTCTGGTTGAATGTTGATGCAGAACTGTTTAAAGTTTCTTAAAATGTTTATATGTTGCACATTTATTAACATAAAATGAAAACTATCATTCAGTACACCAGATTAGCTTCCCAGGCACATCAAACATGAACTACCACAGCTAAACAAGATTGTAGATGGTGTTAAACCATTAATTGCAACCCCCATAATTAATAATTGTTATACATTTTTATACATAATATTAAAATACAAATACACAATACAAACAGTAAACAAATATTATTTTTAATTAAACAAAAAGTATTTTTATGAAATTTATTCTAAATAATTATATAAAAAATGTTATTTAAAATTACTAACCTAAAATATTGCTCTCTATATTATTAAAATGTTGTGTTGCATCTTTGCATTTTGGTTTAATCGGATGATTTTGTGATCTTATAGTAAGTAAAAAAGTCTATTGTATTTTTATTCATCATTGTTTATTAACATTAACAAAATTAATTTAATACATTAATTTAAAAACCTAATTAAAATATTATAACATTGAAGATTAAATCAAGTATCAAAAACTTATCAAGAGAAACTTCCATTACCGTGATTAACATTTACATTTGTGTTTTCTTGCAGATGACCCAGGAACAGTGCCCTCATAGGAACAATGTCCAGAGTACCGAAAAACCGCAAGTGTATAAAGTGGGGATCTACGGCTGGCGGAAACGTTGCCTTTACTTCTTTGTTCTCCTCCTTATGATCCTCATAGTGGTCAACCTCGCTCTCACCATCTGGATCCTCAAAGTTATGAACTTCACTATAGTAAGTGCAGTCTTTTATTCTGGAGCCTCATTACTGCCTGCTGGCCATTGATTCTTTGAACCGCCTTTAGAAGTGAGCTGAAGTAATGGGTCTCCATCAGAGTGATCCACCAATTCAGTCTGTGCGGTTGTGTATTTTCAGAGCTTCTGCCCGGCAATCTACTGCTTTCATTTGCCTCTCAGTGGTCGATCTGTTCAGGTTTCCACACGTAGCTGCCTTCCCTCCCTCTGTGTGTTTACTGATCTTTTCAACTTTCCCATACTGTGCTTTGAGCCTTGATTAATTGGAAGTACAGCAGGGCCGGATCAAAGCAGGTGCCCTGGGGCAGAAATGTCACAAGACCCTAAAACCCACCCAGTGACACAATGTCCTCTATAAACAAGCTTGTGTAACTTTCATGTAACATTAGTACTGTGATTAAGAACATTTTAGGATATAACTACATAATGTTCAGTTGAAGCCACAATTATTAGCCCTCCTGAATTATAAGCCTCCCCAATCACAGTTTAACGGAAATATTGATTTTATTTCAGCACATTTCTAAAGATAATAGTTTTAATAACTAATTTCTAATAACTGATTTCTTTTCTCTTTGCCATGATGACAGTACATATTTGACTAGACATTTTTAAAAATACTAGTATTGAGCTTAAAGTGACATTTAAAGGAGAAAAAATAGCTTTTATTCTAGCCAAAATAAATCAAATAAGACTTTCTCCAGAAGAGACGTTCTCTTAAAAATGATAGGAACTACTGTAAAAACTTCCTTTCTCTATTAAACATCATTTGGGAAATATAAAAAAAAAAAAAAAAGCTGACTAAGATGATAAATAATTTTGACTTCAACTGTATATGATTGGCAGTGGTGTAAAAATTGTGTTGATATATGTGAAATACTTTTTTTGAAAGCATAAAAATATGAAAGTATGCTTTTAGTTCACTGTACCATTCTTCTAAGAAAGAAAAAAAGCATCAGCACTGACCGGGTAGGCAAAAAGAAAAGTAGGAAGGCCTAAACCAAGATGGCGAGACTGCATTAGCAGTGACACCAGTGTTTTAGGAATAAGAAATTGGTGGGCAGTTGCCCGGTACAGAGAACATTGGTGGAATTTACTTGAGGCAGCCAGGGTCCAGTAATGGATTGTCATGCTAAGGATGATGATGATTCTTCTAAGAAAGATACCTAAAATGAAAAATACGAATGCCCTGTCCTAACAACAACAAGAAAAAAAAAAAGGATTGTATTTCTTAACTCCTAATGTCGCTAGTTAACCCTCAAGGGTCTGAGGTAATTTTGAGCCCCTAAGATGTTTTGACATGCTCTGACAATTATTTCAGCTTCTTATTACATAGTATTGGCCAACATGTATTTTTATTTATGTTTTATGTTTTCAGCACAAACTGTGCTATAATAATATGTGAAAAATATTGATGGTTGCATTTTTTTTTTTTTGAAAAAAAAAAATACTATGCTTTGTTAGTTTTGGAGAAAAAAATAGCTGAAATAAGGTCCAAAAAACCACACTCAATGAGCCTAAACATGAGTTTTGAGTAACCAGTCTTGTAGGCTATAGTATTTACTTCAAAATTACATAATACTTAATCTGTTCTCCCATTCAAAGAAAACATTACAATGATTTACATTTTGTTATTGTTATTATTTTTTTTATTTTTTTGGGTCATCTCAGCTTTATGCAAGAGTGACAATGGTCATAAATAATTCACATCTGGAGAGACAAAATACACTTCCCTACTGGCTAATGTTCACCCAAGGGCATTTTTTAGCATAGCAGTTGCAAAAGCTAGCCCAAACTAAATGCTTGTTGTATTACTTGAGATATTATGGCCATGTAAACACTCTGGGTAAACAATATACAGTGCTCAGCATATATAAGTACACCCCTCACAAATCTATATTTTAAATTACAATTTTTAATAGCAAGCTATGCAAAAGTATGTTTGTGCATAAACATCAGATTAGTCAGTACTGAAGCCAAATCTAGAGCTTATCTAACAAAATAACTTAGGAGAACAGTCCAAGAACAAGTACACCCACATTTATATGTTATAGAAATTATTAAATACAAACTTAAAAAAAGAGCAAAAATCAAGAGAAGCAAAAAATTGAAAAATGTGGTTGAAATTTTCTAGGTTGTATTTTATTTTGCAATATTTTGCTAGAATTTAATTGTATTATCTTTCAATTTCTAAATATGTTTGATGACAAAAAATTATTTTAATAAATATACATGTTTAATAAATGTGTTTTGTTTAAATGCATCAAAAACATTGCCTAAATTCACTAAGAAATGGATTAAAATATTTTCAAAATGGGGTGTACTGGATTATGCTGAGCACTGTATGTGTACTTACAGTATGCACAAAAATATTCAGCAGTTTTTCTGACCACAGTTTACGTCACGCAAGTCTCATGCTGTGGACGATTGTAATAACAAAGCCTTGTGGTTGCATAAAAAATAATGAGCTCAGACTGATAAACTAGAAATTGTGTTGATTTCATACTAATTACTTTATCAAACTATATTTCTTTTTAAGATGCACTTATATTTAAAAGTAGACACTTCAAGCTTTCTACAGACATATGTCTCATGTCTGTGTGTTTTGGTTTTGTGGAGTTTCAGTTCATTTTACAGACGCATTTCTAAAAACAGTTCAGAATGCGTACACTGTTTATTTTCCTTATTTTACAAAAGCACACACTCATGTTGTCATTTTGAATGTACACAAAAAAGTAGACACCTAACAGATTTAATTGATGTATTGCTCTTATCTGTACGATCAAAACTAAAAGTGTAATTTAATTTATTTTCGGCGTGATCAGGAAAAGATGCCTCAAAACGCTTATATGCGATCTTCAACCCCTGAGGGTTAACACTTAATGCATTTTTTTTCAGCACATTCCATAATTTCTAAAATATCAACCTCTACCAAATTGTTTTTGGTAAAAAATACCAGATTTAATACATATACTATGACAAATCAGAAAAAAAATTAAATAAAATAAATACAATAATCAAAATACAACATCTTTGGATCTTTATTTTTTGAAGTATGCCATAAAATATTTCTGATTCTCATTTAACATGTTTTCTATTTTTATAATTTTTTTTACAATGAAACCAACATCAAGTGTAGTAGTGTTACAGTGGTATTTTCTGTCAAAAGTAATGCTGTTACAGTAATGCAATACTTGCAACGCGCTATTGCCCAACACTGATGATTAGTTTTACTAAAATAACTTGGAAAATTAATTAATGAAAAAATTAAATCAAAACTAAATAGGATCAATAAATATGTAAAGGAAAAAAACTAATTAATGATTTCAGTAATACAATTATTAATTTATTTAGTTTTAATGGTTTGCCATTTTCATTTTATTTGCTATCTTTCAGGTACATATTTTTATTAACTTGTAGTACATATTAAAGAGATTAAAATTCACCCAAAAATGTTCTCTAAACATCAATCAATCAATCAATCAATCAATCAATCAATCAATCAATCAATCAATCATGCATGCATGTATACAAATAAAAATAAATTTGTAAATAACAAGCTATATTTCTGACTGAAATGGCAATTCCCCTCACTGCACAACACGCAAGCACATGTGTTGCAGAATCTTCCTGCTCATCCTGCTCTATATTTATTGTTGACATTTTGTTCATGAATTAAATCTCCAGACGCGCAGTCAAAAAAAGCCAAAATCAAGTCTAGTAGTGCAACAGGATTATGGTTGTTCGATTTTTTCATAAACCAACAATGCTGTGTGTGTAAACCATTATTTAAAACAATCATTCTTTAAATGACATTAACAGTCATTATTTAAAACAGTCAACCATTTGGCAAAGCAGGCTGTTAAAGGGTTAATTTCATAAACTAATTTCAAGAGGATCATGTGCTATGATTGATCACGGCTGGTCCCGCATTAACAATCATCAATAATTGATCAGATGAATCCAAGCTTTCAATAAATAGCCTTCTATAGTTCTCCATTATTTTCTGATTTCAATTATTAATCCTGCATCTACTCTATTTCGCCCTTTACCTCATTACCAGGGGGAGTTTTCAAGACCTATTTTAGCTCAGACCCCCTTCTATGCTATCATCCAGGCAGGAGCCATGGGCTCAAGTAGTGGGCTCAGGGTTCTCTCCCAGAACAGCATGTGAAAACTGCAACAAGTATCAGTTAATGGCTTGTTTCCACTGACTGGTACAGTACGGTACGGTTCAGGTTGGTACGGGTCACCTTTATCAGGCTAGCGTTTCCACTACCGAGGGTACCCTTTTGGTGGGCGTGGTGTATGACAGAAAGTTTCAGTCGCATCAGTCTCGCTTGAGGAAATGTCTACAGTAAAGCTGTACAGGTTGCTCAAATATCATATAAAAGCACTTCTCACAAAACAGACGCTTTATACTTCTGTATAAATGTGTATTACTAACTTTTCTGTGAATTTGATTATAACTGCAAATAAATGACTATGCAAAATAGCCTACTGCAATGTCTGTAATTATATTAAATATATAAATTAACCTATATGTACACATACAACCCCTTAAACGTCTCCGATATGTAACCAACTACAGAAAAACTACACACAACAGACATTTCATCCTTATTTAGGTTCAAAAACAACACAAAGTAAAACCCACATTCAGCGTTAACCATCTGTGTCTGTAATCTTCAGCAGCATGTATAGCTTCTTGTTAGAGAGTAATTCTGTCATTCCCAGTTCATATTAGTCCAAAAAGTGCAGAAATTAAAACAAGACAGTTTGTTCACGTTTGCTGAAGAAATAATGTGCTCCTTTTTCCAGCTTCTACTTTGTTTTTTTGCGCTTCACTCTCTCTTCACTCGAGTTTATCAGTTTCTGATAGGATAGGGTTTCAAAAGCACGTCAACAATCAAGCGCACGTCATTATCTTCAGCTCAAAAAGTTTGTTATTCCAGACATAGACGTGCGGCGAGCGCAAGGAAG